ACAAACTATCTATAATGTTATATATAATGTTAGTATTGTTAGTTACCATACTCCTCCGAAACGGCTTGACCGATTTTTATGAAATTTTATATGGATATTCAGTACGTCTGAGAATCGGCTATTATCTATTTTTTATACCCCTAAGTGATAAGGGTTGTCCAGAAAAAAATAAAAATAATATTATTACTAAAATAAAAATAGTGTATTATATATTGGTTGCTATTGGTTAATCGGGAATGTTTGTTGATTTGTATTATTATTTTTTGTCAATATAGGTATACAGGGTGTCCCGTGAGGATTTACTCATTAGCCGTAGAGGGGGACTCGCCGCCCGGACAAAAACCAGTTTATTGACGTTTTACTAATAAACTAAAAAAATTATTAAAAATCATGAGATTAATGAAAATAAAATGTTAAAAGCTCAAAATGTTCACAAAAATATACTCTATAGAATGGCTATCTTCAATTTTTTCAAAAATTAAAAAATTAAAAAATAATTTTTTTAACTTTTTTACTAAAAAATTTAATTTAATTAAAAAATAAAATATTTGTAGTGCTTACCTCTGCGAGTCTTAATAAAAAAACATAATTACGATATCTCCATTATTTCAGGAGATATCGCAATGAGTAAATCCTCACGGGACACCCTGTATATGTGTGATTCAAAATGTATGTTACAATAAGAGGTAGAGTAATAGTATATTATTGTAACATACATTTTGGATCACCCTGTATACCAATAAATTAATGTTCGTGTGTAGATTAGACCTCTGGGAAGAAGATAGGCTAATTGTCGAGAAAAAAAAAATAAAAATAATAATAGTGCATTATATATTGATCACTATTGGTTAATCGGGCATGTTTGTTATGTTTGTTATTGATTTGTATTATTATTTTTTGTATATATATATAAATAAATATAAATGAATGTTTTTGGGTGGATTAGACCTCTGGGAAGAAGATGGGCTAGTTTAAAAAGGGTTAAATTTGGTTTTTTTTATTCATCGGATTTTAGTACAGTTAGGTCAGGTTAGGATTTTGTATTAATTGATTATATTAATCCACAGTAGGTGAAATTGAGTAAAAACGACAAACTTGGTATAACTTTGATACTTTAGAGTTAAATCATACACTATGTACAAACAGCACGAGCACGGGGTCCGCGATCTACCGCAGGTAGATTTCCTACCTGATAATGTACTGCTATTAATCAGAATTTTTATTCCGGGCAACAAAAACGTTCAGATAAATCTAGAATATCATACACCTGAACAAAGTTTGAGTTATATACAATTTGTACATTTATAGGGTAACGAAGTGCATGGGATCAGCTAGTAATATTATAATATGTTGACAGTTTGACACAAAATATTGGGTAACACACTCCCATACACCAGTGGCGGATCTAGGGGGGGGGGGGGTTCAGGAGGTCATCTGACCAACAGTTAACATTTACAGATCAAATTTGGCTCTTAATATCTTGGGCAGTTGGACACTTGGACCCTCCAATAAACACACATACAGTTTAAATTAATTTTTTTTTTGTTTTATTGATCTAGTACACATTTATAGATTTCTAATCTGGTTTTAATAAGTAGCTTAGTAGCCCCTTGAAATGTCCTAACTCTGGATCCACCCCTGCCATACACTTCTAGATAGTATAGTAGTTACATAGGCAGTAGCCAGTAGGTACCTACACATGGTACACTAATGACTTATACAGTAATTATACACCATTATTCCTTTAAAAAATTATGATATTATAAAATAAAATAATATATATCATTACACTACCTGTTAGGTACTTATATCTTTGTAAAACTGTAAACTTCTAATATTACTAAATACTAATATTATTCTAGTCAATGTTTGAAATAACATGTATGATTGATTGATTTTTTCCAAATGTTAAATAAATAGGCAATAGTTGTATAAATAATTTTTGAAAAAAAATCAAATTTCATAATGATGTACCTAAGTACAAAATACTTCAATTTTTAAAAATTACAGCAATTAAACTTGTTATTGTCATATCATTATTCATTATTATGGTACTATAAAGGCCTTATCTATGGTACCTATTTTAATTTAATTTACCCATCATTTATTTAAAGTTACAATAAAAATTATGACCAGTTACATTTTAATGTTGAATAGGTCATAGGCTTGAAAATGTTGAAACTGATTACAGGTTACAAATTACGGTAAGTTGATTTATTAATTTAGGTTCAGATATACGCGTCCGAATAGTAGGTAATAAATTATAAAAACGATTGAAAGGATATAAAATTCAAATGGAAATATAGGATTTGAAAATAAAAATAAAACCAACAAACTATTAAAAGTACTATGTTATCTAAATCTAACAATTTAATAATCAGGCTTCGCAATAATGGTCTTTTGAGTACCAAGCACATGAAATCGACATATCACAATAGAAGCATAATATGCTTGATAAACAATCCATTTTTTAGGTCATCTTAATACAAAATATGTAATCTATGTAGTAGATATAGCACTCCATTATTTAAAAATAGATTGATTTCCGAAAAAACAAGACAAATATAACTTTATTATTTTATCCTATTAAAATATAGATATACCCATACTTATTAAACGTTACACAAATACTTGACACGTAGGTAGTTAAATATGTATAATCTATAAAATGTAATTCTTTCTTAGTGTAGGTACCTAACTACTTAGTTATTGTAATATTATGTGTGATATAAAAAAAATTGCACCGACTATAAGTACTTACCTGGTATTATAATAGATATCTATATTTTTTTTATTATTTTTTCTTCTAAAAAATAAATTACATAGGTACCTATCGTATTTGAATTTTAAAATAACACTTAAATTCAAATTTTAATTTGGATGATAAGCTTAGACTAAGCTTTGAGTGGACCGATAAGCGTGTGTTATAATTTTTTTTTATGGCTGAATACTAGTCTTAATAATGGAAAAAATTGATAACATTGTTTTTGGTAGAAAATTAAATCTAATCGATATGTTTGAGGGTCAAAAGTAAAAAAGGTGGGCTAGTGGATGTCACTCTGCTGTACAGTGTAGTTTACAAGTGGGCCACTGTATAATTTGAATTGTATTAAATGGTATTAAATTTAAATTCAATGATCTAATAATATTATATACGAAAAACGAATCTAGGCGGAGACAGATTGTCAGTATGAAAATTGTATATTATGTTTATACCTACCTATTGTTATTACTTATTATTAATACGGTAGCAGGTAAGTTGAATTAATATTATGCAATTACAACAAAATAACTAAAAAAGTTATTCTTAGTTATTTAAAATGTAATTAAAAGTGTTAGTCAACAATCAACTGTCTGAAAAAAAGGTTTCATAATGGACATTAGTTTATTGGTTTCAACTAATACAAACTGTATATAATTAACAGTTGTGTTGGACGATACACTGCGTAAATTCATGACGAAATATTTTGTCATGCGTAAATTAATCGAATGTGAGAATACCTATAAATATATATTATAACATTTATAACCATCTTGTAGATGATTTTGTCATCTACAATTTTCGTTTGAAACATTTTTTGTACAACCAGTATACAATATCAAACCTAAAAACATTGTATATAAAATAAATCCTGAAATGCTCAGTCACACATAAAATATTTAATATAAACCAAACATTTTTATATTTAATTTAAATAATAAACTAATAATAACATCACAGACATAGGGCATAGTTATAGATATTATACTTAAGAGTGTTAAGACCAATGAAAAAAAAAGATTATTTTTGCCCGGGTTATAATATGTTCACATAACATTAAACCAATCTGAATAATGTTCATAGACCTTAATAATATAGGTACTGGTCACTCATAAGGTCTATGATAATATTATATAATCTTCACTCTTCAGTAATGGAAAAATGCAAATAATTTAAACTGGAAGAAAATATTATAATCCTTATAAATGCCTAGGTAATAGTCAGAAAATGAACTAATGCCCCCCCCCCCCACGTGTGAATCTTTAAATGCTAATTAAATACATATTAATTTATAAAAAAAAAATCAAGTTTTTTTGACGAGTGTTTTTATTTTAAAAATATTCATGGATATAAATTAGTTGTATCAAATTTACTTATGTTAAGGTATAGAATAAAATGTATGTACAAATAAAATAAAATATAATCAATATTGATGTCTTAGAGTTAAGACTTATATGTTACAACATCGAATATCAGACAATGTCACTATTATAACCGAGTACTTATCATGAACTACTTTTATTGAGTACTTACAAAGTACAATAAAGGATATTTCAACTGGCACACTCTTTTTATTTAATTGTAAATCATAAATTAGTTAAAATTATTTTAAATATAACAGAACATTAAAAATATAGGAAAACGATAAATTATAACTATTATTATTACATATATTGTAGTTTGTACTAATATTGGTAGGAGATTGACAGGAGTTAAGGTTGAGTAGTGCGATTATAATTATAACACTTTTGTAAAAGGGTTTATACAATAAATACTACAACATGCTAAAACAAATTATTTATTTTTTGTACTCTCTCATGTACTCTTTACAATAGTGTAATAATACTTCGATAGCATTTAACATTACAATAGGTTACTGAAATTAAAACTATATAAACTTATATTCCTTTATAAGTATAAGGTAAATGATAAAAAAAAAACCCCTTTTATAAAATGCCAGAGCTATGGTAATTTTATAAATAATATAAAGAAATTAATAACTATCATGTTTTATATAACGAAAAAATATTTAATATAAAGTGATTTTGGATAAAATTAAATTAAAACAGATGAGACTATATTGTTATAAATTTAAGATTTTATTTCTTAAAAAAAATGATCCAGCGATTGTATTTAAAGCTTTGATTTGTGTCTTACTAACTAATTTTACAAATTTTACAAATTTTACAAATTTAAAAATATTCTTTATCTTAATCATTAATTTATTTTTGAAAAAACATTATACACAGTACTTCCTGGGTGGAGGCATAATAGGTATAAAATCGGTAAAATGATCTTGAGCAAATGCTTCGTTGTCTATTTTACCATACACTTCGGTTTGCATGAGTATCTTCAATTGTGATTCGTTCGTAGTATTCTTATTGTTTTTTGTGGAGACAAAACTAAATGACTCCAATTCGCTTTTTTTATTTTCGGGTGTTTTCAAAGACCTGATAGACATATCCCAGTAACTGTTATGGTCCATCTGTATAGAGTTTTCAAACTGGAAAGGAACTTTTGATTTTTCACATTTTTCAAATGTTGATATCTGAAGAACATAAAAAAGTAATACATATGATAACATTAAATTAAAATTCATATACTCACCATATCATCTTGTACATGGTTCTCAAATCTTAAAATATCTTCTTTCTGCTTTTGTGCTTTTAACAATAGGTCATCAATTGTCCGTTTCTAAACCATAAACAGAGTATTTATAATTAATATACTATGCAGTTAATTGGCTACTATATAAGAAATGTATAAGTGCTTCATGCAGTGCTATGATTTTTGAGGCCCTGAACAATTTATAAATTAGAGGCTCTCTAGCCATCAGCAACAAAGAATCTGTAAGTAACTATATAGATATTACTTTGAATTACCAAAATGTCATCAAATTGTAATCAATTAGTTTTAAGTGAACTAAGACATTTAATTTTTTTGGGTAAATATCTAAATCAAATTTGCTGTTAAAAATATTTATGAAAAAACATATATGGCTTAACTTATATAATTTTTAGGGTAAACTCTATTTTGTGTATAATTATAAATAATTTTAGTAAGACTGGTATCAACACATTTTACGCACTTATGCAACAGAATTGAGCCTTTCATAAAAAAATTCACTTTGGGTACCTACTTAAAACGATACACAATTAATTTTTTTTCAATTTTTATAAATTCAGATTTGTTTGGAGTTAAATATTTTAATCGGTTATTACGAGTAGGAACACTGGCAATCATAAAGTTATATTCATATATACCTATTTTGTTTATTAAATATAAATAATGTTTTTTTGACACATTTAGTTGTTATAATCTAAAAAAAATTGCCTACAAATTGCTTTTTGGATTATTCATAATATGTGGTTGCCACTAGGGTTGCCAACAGGCCGGTATTTCACATCCATAGACTTGAAAAGCCGGTTACTGGTATTGACCTATAAAAAGGTGGTATTTCCATCTGATAGAGAGTTTCAATGTAAATATATTAATATTTTATCGTTTTTTGTGAATTTTGTGAAATTGGTTATCAGATATTGCTGTCAATAAATCGTATAATCTTCAGACGTCTATCGTCAACTTTGACATTTTTATAGGTAATATTTTTTTTTTTGGTACACTTGGACCGGTATTTCGCAAATTAAAAGTTGGCAACCCTAGTTGCCACATATGTTTTTTTCATGAAATAGCACTCCAATTTTATATTATATTGTAAAGTATATATAATTAAAAAAAAAATATTATTTAATAAAAGGGAAAATCATGTACATTTAAGAATACAGTAATTTATTTAAGCTAATTTTAAGCAATTTAGTAGTGCTATTTCCATAAAATTTTCATTACTAAAATTCAAATACAAATTCCAAAATTTTAAATTCCCCTAAATTGTGCTATATTAAAAAAAATTATATCATTGCAATGCAAATACAATTGGTGAAAATTTCAAGTATCTACGAATTACGATTATGGATTTATAAATATCGACAAAATAACAGAATCGGTTTATCAATACCTAAACATTCCTAAATTTTTTTTTAAAATTATTTTTAAAGTTCACAGAACTGGCCACTTGACAGACACTATTTGGTAAAATCGGCGAGCACAATAAATTGACAAATAAACATTAAAATAATATACCTACATCTAAACAATATTTGTTCATATTGGAATTAGTAAAACAATGTGTCATGTCTGATATAAAAATATACTTTTATATATTAGTTGTAACTTACATGAATCAAACCAGGATTGGCACTAATATTCTTAGTTATGTAATAATCACATCTAATTTCTTCAAATGATATATCAATTAAGTTTAAACTACCAACTGGTTGAATAGCAAATTGATGTCCAATAGGGTGGAAACATGTGAATGGCCAAATATTAGTCGTTGATAGTTGTTGTACATGCCTTTGGTAAGTTTTACTGAAAAAAAAATTATTTCTCATGATACTAGTTGAAAAACCAGGCTTTGCTTGTAAAAAAAATTAAAAAACAAATATTCATAAAATCATTAAAACGCTTCACTGAAAATCAATGTGTACTCTTCTCTTACCAGACAAAAAATGGATAAATAGCACCGTAAGGAAACTATGACACTACGTATTTGGATATATTTGACGAAAAAAATCATTAAAAACTTCAATTTTGTTGTCAGAAACGAGGTACATAAAAAAAACATGTTCTTTTATATAATATATTCCAATGATAAGGATTTAATTATTAATTATTCGTTAAATATTTAACTAATATTAATTCCCTATTTGAAATGAAATAGGTACTACTTACATTTCATTTTCATAATGCTTCAAAATATTTCTTTTAACATCAACTTTGTCATTAACATTATGGACATGGGGCTCATGTATTTGTTTTTGATCATGTGAATTCTTATACCTAATTAGTAATACAAATAAAAGTGTTATACATAATAATATAAGATTATAATATTATAATCATAAGAAAATTAAGATACATCAATTATAATAAAGACAATGAATATCAGAATATGTCCTATTTAAAATCCAAGTACCTATATGAACTGGCTTCCACTTTGTTTGTATCATAAACATATTCATAATTATATTTTCTACCCTGACTGTTGTCGTCCTCTTTATAATAATTCTTTACACTGCGCTGTCTTTGAGCTTGATTTACATATTGATTACTTGAATTGTGATCTTCTTCGTAATCATTTCTTTGATTATGATAATTATTCCTACTGTTATAATCATTTTTATAATTGTAGTTTGTGTTTCTACTTCTAGATTCATAGTTCTGTCCGTGCTCGTAATAATCATTATGATCTCTGCCATTATTAGTATCATAACTTTTGCTTGAACTCCCTAAAAATTTAAATATAAAAAATATTAAGAACAATGTAAGAAAATTCAATAAAATATAGGTATGTAATATATTATATTGTAATCAATTGATAAGGTACATGAAACCTTTTTAGTATTTTCAACCAAACAATGCTTTAGATATTAATTAGTATAGGTATACACTCACTATTACTCCTTGATTGATTTTCATAGTCATATTGGTTGTTTGAGCGATGTGGTTCCTCATGTGAGAACCGACAAGAAGAGCCGTAATAACAATTTCCTTGCAAATAAAATTTGCATACCCTTCTAGACATATTTACGGTGAGATCCTATTCTTTTATTTATGAAATAAACATTAAAGAAGAGAACTCAAAACGCCATTTGCCTTATAAGTATGGGGAAAAGTACATATTATCTACTAACTAGTAAAAACGTGATACTAATTTGATTTTTGTTCGGAGACTGTTATCAGTTTGAAACTGACGACCGTTTGATAACGATTGACGACAATAATATTGTACAGTCTTATCGATACGTATCGCTACGTTTATGCATATTATATTGCACTTGTTAGTTGTTACTTCTTGAACGTTCGAATAATCTATCTACTGTTTTCGCATCGACTTGCCCTCAGAAATATTGTCACAATTCAATTTTATAATAGGTAGGTATTTTTACTCTAGAACCAAAACAGAGCGATTTATATTTTATACTCAGACTGCGTTAACAAGTTTTGTCTATATCGTACGTGTGTAAGACGGAGAAAACACATCATGCGGGTGTGACATCCATCTTAAGTTTTATAAATTAAATTCTCAGTAAGCATACATATTGTGTATGTTAATTTGTCGACTAATTCAAGCAGTTATTTCGTATTATTTTATTGCATTCTGTATTTTTGTCTCTTATGAAAATAATATGTTATTTGTCAATTACTTTTCGTCAGTTTTTTGTTGTACACGACAGTATAATATAAGTAGATAATATTATATTATTATGTATGTCAGACGTCCAGTAGAAAATGTACAATAAGATAATTGAATTATGATAATATTATGGGATAATGCCAAAAAAACCCGTGATATGTTATTATTAAATATTAATTAATGCCATATTGCCGCACACAACTCGAATGCATCAAAAATAAATCTCTGATGAAATAAGGTTGTTAATCTATTATGAATTTATGATTCTTTATCTCCCGTACGAAATTCTGATTCGAAATTTCAAAAGCGACTAGGAAGGGGAGGGCACAAATTCATTACCTATAATAGGTATCAGTAAATATACCTAATATTATAACATTATTATAATTTATAAACTATGAATTATGATCAGTAAACAGTAGGCACTAGCGACTGGCCAGTAGGTGTATTATAGGAGTGATGAATAATATAAATTAAAACTAATAAAAATAATTTAGTATTTACTATAAAAATTTTCAATAATAACATAGTAGGTACTTGTGATTTATTGGTACCTATATTATATTTAATTTGACTTGTGATGATCCTTATATTATTCATTATTGGACTCCTTGTAATTTATTCGTATGCTCGTAGATAAACAGTTATAAGATAATTTTGTATTGCCTGTACAATATGTAGTATTATGAAAAAACTTAGTCAGATTGTAGAAGGCAGAATTATAAGTGCGTTAAACATTACTGATGTAGCATCTACCTACTATTTTTCTTATAGATATTTTTCTTCTGCTAGGAAAATTGATTAATCGTAGATATGTTTTTGCAATTTGGGTATAGTGCAGTTGACAATTATCTAGTAGCATTTTGTTAGAAATTTATGAATTAAAAATTATAGATTGATTTTTAAAAAATAGGTATTTTATGTTTTTTTATCGATTTGCGTTTCTATGGAGGCATACAAAGCGTTAGATAAAAATTAATCGGTTAGAAAATAAAAAGTTGTATTTAGCCCAAAAACATAAACATAATAATATAATATAATGTGTTAGGAAAACTTGACTAAACGTGTATAATCTTTAACATTGTAAAGTTATTTGACAAATTGGTTTTTCCAGGTTTACCGGATAGTTAAACTTTTTTTCTTGCTTTTACATTTAAAATTAATAAATAAATAGAAATGTTTTTTAAGTTAATCGAGTCTTTTTACATTATCGCGTTTGATAATGTTAATATTTTGGATTCTAAACGGAGCAATAAATATATTATTGATTTTACAATTTACGATGATGTGCCTTAATTTTTAGGACAAATTCGAACTTCATTTTTGGTGTAAGGTGTAACTCTAAAAAAATAACCGTAGGCTACATTGAATGTTCATTATTCATAATAGCATTTTTTATAAATCATAAAATTTTCAAAATGTTTTAATATTATGAATTCTGAGAGGAGCAATGAATGTTTTGATTTTTCAATGATGTGTGTTTTTTATTTATTTATTTTAATTTTTGTGCCTGTCATCACCTTTTGGGGCAGTAAAATGCTTCGATTTTCTTTAACAGTATCTTGTTCGATGGGAAAGTGAATGTAGACGAGACAATCGCGGCAGCTCGGAGGATCGTGTTATCACTACTATTATACGTTTGTATTATAGATAATACATTATCTGTGGTTTGTATTTACTATTTACATTTTATAATTTATTGTGAATTAATTATTATTAAATTAATTTTAAAAAGGTAAGTAAGTGGATGTCGTTCTGCTGTACAGTATTTTACAAGTGGGTATTAAATTTGAATTCAAATGTGAAATCTACTGAAATATTCAATAAAAAGTGTTAATGTTTATTTTCCACACTACAATATAAGTATATCTGGCTAAAATGCATTTTATCAACCCCCTCTAGATTTTCAATTTTTTTTCTTCAAACGACTAGTTTTTTGGATTCTGAGTGGAACAATGAATGTATTGATTTTACAATGATGTGTGTTTTTTATTTTTATTATTTAATTTTGTTACTGAGTAGTTTGAACACGATAAGTAGTCAAAATAATGCTTCGATTTTCAAATTCAATATCTTGTTCGATTGGAAAGTGAATATCGTTATTGCATTGGGCAGGTCAAAATTAAAAATTCCCAGTAATTTTCAAAAGCGCCAAGAAAAACAAAAGACAAAATTAAGGAAAAAACGGGAATTTTTATGCAACATCGATTTTTCACAAATTCAAATTTGGTTTTTGGTGTCACTTTAAAACACATGACCGTTGATATATGAAATTTTCACTGGTTGTTTATATTTGCATTTTCTATACACGATAATACATTTTCAAAATATTTTGATTTATTTTGAACTGTTTAGGGACATTTTCATTTTCCATTTTTTTTTTAGTTTTTTTCTAAATATATCAATAAAATTTTATTTGTTGGTTAAAAAAGCTTGAAAATTTAATACAAGGCTTATACTATATTGTTTCAAAGGCAGATGAAAAATATTAAAAATCCTTAGTCACAGTTTTTTTTAAAATGCATTTAAAGTTCAAAAATTGACAAAATATGGAAAAATCACGAAAACTAGCAAATTGTTTGAGTTAAGAATTCGTAAAAATTTTTCTTTTTAAATCTAAGATTTGAAAATGTAATACAAGATTCCTTATAAGATAATCTACCTTTATCAAAAAAAAAAATGTCTATAAGAAAGTCAAATTAAATTTTTATGAGCGTTTGAAATTCAAATTTTTACAACATTGGGTATTCACTCGATTTCTCATGTATAGCGATTTCCTAATTTTGTTGCAATTCAAAAACGAATAAATTTAGATACATGAAAATTTCACTGAATGTTTAAATTAGCATTTCCTATACACCATACAATTTTGAAAATATTTTGACTCTTTTTGAGCTATTTACGGACATTTACCCCTTAATTTTTTTTTAGGTTTTTTTTCTATAAATCTCAATAAAGTTTTATCTGTTGGGCCAAAAAGTTAATACAAGGCTCCTGAGTCCTGATATATTGTTACAATATCAGTTGAAAAATATTAAAAATACATAGGCACAGTGTTTTTTTATAAACATTTAAAGATCGAATTTTGACAAAATTTATCAAAATCTCGACAATTATCAATTATTGTAATTACCTAATAAATTATAAAATGTTCAGTTTTTATAGCTAAGGATTGCAAATTTAAAACAAAGGTTCTCATAAATAGTTCATACTGTATCCAAAAAATCAAAAAAATATATGAACACGGTTATTTTTACAGACATTTTAAATTTAAATTTGGACGAAATTACATATTAAAAAACCTAGAATAACTATTTTATAGTTAAATAATTTATATAATAATAATTTATTTTGTTGTGATTGAATAATATTATTCGTGGGTACTTGAAACTTGAAAGTGTACTAATGTAGGTACTATTATATATCTATGATAGTATCAGGGTTTGTTGTTGACGTATAACGCATTATAAGTACCTAATGGATATTGTGGTATGATTAATTTGGAATTTATTATAGGTACCTATTATAGGTCAAATTTTGGTTTAGTACCATAGATATGTATATAATATGTCTTATACCTAGACTGACATACCGTCTCCGCTCAGAATCGTTTTTCTTATACAATGATATTATATCGTAGAATTCAAATTTAATATCATCCATTATACAGTGACCCACTTGTAACCTACTGTACAGCAGAGCGACACCCACTTGCCCACCTTTTTTATAATTTGTATATTTGAATTTTAAATAGATATTTATTTAAAACAGTTTTTATAATTAGGTCTTCGTTGATTTTGTTATTTTATTTAAAAAATAATTATTTTTTATTTTTTTACAATGGGCTTTTGCAAATTACAGGATTTTTAGTGCATACTTTTTGCCAATTTTCGTCACATTAAATTCGCTGATTTGATTAGTTTAAGTTGGACTGGGTGTGGGGTCTATTTCTCAAACTAATGATGTATGGTACCTACTAAGATTAGAACAGTTACCTATGCATGAAAAAATCAAAAAAATCGTTTAAAAATCGCTTTAATCAATTGAACAGAAGATTATAACTTAAAACCTTTATACTTAGATACTATAAAAAAATCAAAAAAAATCTATGATTTTAAAATGTAGGTAATACAAGATTCCTTATATAAGATTATCTACCTTTATCAAAAAAAAATGTCTATAAGAAAATCAAATTAAATTTTTATGAGCGTTTGAAAATCAAATTTTTACAACATTGGATATTCACTCGACTTCTCATTTAGCGATTTTCTTATTTTGTTGTAATTCAAAAACGAATAATTGTAGATACATGAAAATTTCACTGAATGTTTATTTTACCAATTCTTATACTTGATAACATTTTAAAAATATTTTGACTTGTTTCTTGC